AAAAAAAAAGAAAAAAGACTAAGATACGTGCATATAGGAGGCAACTTTTGCGCAAGACTGACCTTCCCCCCGACATATCCACTCATGCCGCCCTCCCTACGCTTCCTGAATACCGTTCCCTTCCACCCAAACATCTACGAAAATGGAGATCTGTGCATCTCCATCCTCCACCCACCAGGCGACGACGAGTACGGGTACGAGGTTGCTGATGAGCGGTGGAGTCCGGTCCAGAGCCCCGAGACCATACTGGTCAGCACCATCAGCCTGTTCTACGATCCCAACATCGACAGTCCGGCCAATGTCGAGGCGGCTCTGCTGCTGCGCGAGGAGCGGGAAGGCCAGCATAGAAATTTCAAAAAACGGTGTAGGAAGTGTGTTAGGGAGAGCCTGGGAGAGGATTAGCCTGGGGAAGTGGAGGGCACGAGAAGCGTATATACATATACTGCGGGGAATATTTCATCTTTTCTTGTTTGTCTATCTGCTTCCGAGGCATCAATGCAACCAGGAGTTTTGTTCATCTACTCTGTCTTCTCTTTATATCTGGTCCAGACCCAGAATAGATCCGACGACCCTATCCCACTCGTCATCCCATCGGAGGCTCCCCTCCCGGACGGCACCCTCCTTCAACCTGCTGAGCTCCTCGCCGCCCTTGTCGCTCAGAAGACGCAGGAGCACCTCGGCCAGCTGATCTGCCGTCTCGAAGCCGCACCCGTTCTGACCCTCCTTGATCAGCTCCCCGAAGCTCTCAAAGGCCGAGTAGGCCGCGACGGGTAGACCGGCGCCGAACATGTCGACGACTTTCATGGGCAGGTCGACGCCGGAGCTAGACTTGTGCAGGGAGACGCCCAGGTCGGCGCAGGCGAGGAGGGTGGCGTAGTCGCGCGTGGACAGCCAGGCGGTCAGGATACGGATCCCCGGGAGACGTCCCTGGTCCTGAAGCTCGGCAATCTTGTCCGTGTATGCCTTCTTCTGGGGGCCTTTGCCGGTGATGATGGCGAGGATGGGCACGGCAGGCTCGCCACCGTGCTCTCCTGCCCGGGTGGGGTCGGGAGAGCCGCTGTACTTGATCAGGGCGTCGAGGAGAAGGCCGAAATCCTCGTCTGCGGTCCAGGAGGTGCTGCTGACGACGAGGCGCACGGCGCCGGCGACGATGTCCCCGGCGTCCTTCTTCGTCTCGGGCAGACGGGACAGGAAGTCAAGGCGCTCCGTCGACGAAGGGGAGATGGGCCGGAACGTTTCGGCGGGACGGTCGTGGAGCGTCAGCACGGGCGTCTCGATGCCGAAGAGAGGGGAGCGCAGCTGGCGGGCCATGGCGTCGGTGACGGCGAGGTTGGCGTCGCCCAGACGGCGGCCGAAGCCCTTCTCGTACCAGCGGTACAGGGGGACCAGGGGCCGGAGGAGGAGGGTCTCGCGTAGGAGGGTGTGGCCATAGTTGTGCCAGTCTACCAGGACCTTGCTGCCGCGGATGTAGGCGACCAGCATGGCCACGTGGAAGGCCGGGATGGAAGGGGGGTTCTAGGGTCTTCACGTCAGGTTTCTCTCTATCTCGTCTCCACGCATGGATATCAGGAGGAGGAGACGAAGAAGGAGGAGGAGGAGCGGGAGTGACATACCTGAATGATGATCCATCGTGCCGGAGGCGTGGCGTACATGAGAGTGTAGAACAGAGTGCAGAACTGGTGGATGACCTTGTAGGGGATAGCCAGGAGAGGGAGGGTACCCCATGCGATCCATTCGGGCGGAGGGGTGAGCTCGTACAATGCGACGTTGGGCTTGCCGATGAGGGCGGGATGTCTGGCAGTCTCTTTATAAATATAAATACATGTATATATATATATACATATTCGCATGTCAGCGTGTGTGCGTGTGTGCGAGGTGTGGGGGACACGAGGCAGGGGCTGAGCTCTTTGTCGGTTTACCCTTGTAGCCCACCAGGTCGACGTAGCGACCGTGCTTGGCCAGACTGATGCCGTGATACTGCATGCGCGGGCTGCGGCCGATATCGCCGACGACGAGGATCTGGATGTGGTCGTGGTCGCTCTCCTGCGCGGGGCCAGCGTAGCGCGTGGGCACGATGTGGCGCGACTTGCGGGCGAGCCAGACGACGAAGACGAAGAGGTAGCGAGCAGCGATGACGGATAGGCCGCCCGCTACGACGGAGGCGATGAATGGGAACAACATTCCGCAGCAGGGCTCATCGGCGAGGACGAGTTGCCGAGAGCGAGGGTGGTGCCGAGCGAGACGGGGCAGATGCGTGCGTTCCTTTCCCCTCTCTCTCTGTCGTAGCGATGAGCGATGAGGCTCGACGGTGGGAGGTGGTTGGGTGGGTGGGTGGTACAGGTGTCACCAAGAGACGTGAATGAGGTCTGCACAGATTATATGCAGGCAGCGACTCTTCTCCTCTGGCCTTCTCTCTCTCTCTCTCACTCTTTTGTTTTTTTTGTTTTTGTTTTTTTTGTTTTCCCACGAATCTACGAGTACGAGAAGAGGGAGGGTGTATTGATATACATCGCATCTGAAGATGAGGGTAAGGATAATATAGATGGTATCATCAGTGTAGAGGATATCATGATATTCACCATCGGTGTGGCCTCGATAGCGACCTGCCTGTATGAGTAGAACTTTCTGGCGCTATTGAGCGTGAACTGATAAGACATGGCGCATTGGGGGGGAGAGGGGCGGGGGTCAAAGGGTCGTTGGGTAGGTAGGCAATGCTAATAACCCGTAAGTTGCCACAAGCCATAACCACTTGGCAAGTACCATAACCGCCTAAGAGCGGGCAGCCACCAACTGGCAACAGCCCAGGGTTAGTTTTAGTAGAGAAAGTTGGCAGGGACCCTAGACACTCATCTGGGGGGTTTGCATGGACTTGGTGGTAGAGAGGGGGTGAGGATATCTGTCCTGACAGTCCTGCTGCTGTCGCTCTATTGCTGGCGAATGCTGGATCATGTTTTTTTTTTTTTTTTTTTTTTTTTTTTTTTTGCTCCTGGCTGTTGCTTCTTGACTCTTGTCACTTGTCGTGTGTCTGTGTCTGTTTGTTGTTGTTGTTGTTGTTGTTGTTGTTGTTGTTGTTGTTGTTGTTGTTGTTGTTGTTGTTGTGTATCGATGTATCGAGAATCGCTGGACGAATCCACAAGATGATGCACAGATGATACACGGCACAAGAGATCCACCAGCTCTTACACAAACACATCACGTACCCTTAGTTGCTGTCAAATGCCGGACCCGAACAGAACCACTCCCCCTTCCCCTCCCTTCCGGAGAAGAGCATCTCATGAGTCTCGACACTATGTGCATATACAGATAAATACAGGGGGGGGGGGGGAAGAGGAAGAGAAAAAAAGAGTCTAGTTGGTCATGACTTTGTTAGCGCACTCGACCAATGGACCAAGGCGGCTACAATACTCTACGTCGTAATTAGTGGGCTTTGACCGGCTTTTCCTCGCGTTATTATATCGACCCTGTATGAATCTCTGAATTGGCGAGTAATAATCACACTACTCCGTATGTAATACAGGTTATCTAGTACAGTATTATTTTATCCTGCTCACTGCCCACTGTATCATTACTTACAGGCTGACCTACAGGCTACAGGTGATAATGATACTCATACGCGAGTAAGCCGGTCCCCTTGCTCTGGGTCCCCGTCTATCTGTACAGATGCTCGTGGTCTCCAACTCTTGTTCTTGGCACCTCCAGGCACAACGATCGACGTCCCCGTTGCTATGTCTGCCGAGAGGAGCACACACATACACACACACACACACACACACACACGCTTGCTGCTAGACTGTATTGGTAGTAATAGCGCTCGCCTTGTTCCTCCTTCCTTGCCTTCCATCTCTTTGTCCCTGCCTTCTCTCACCCACTCACTCACACACACACACACTCTCTCCTCACTATTAACCCCCATCACACACACACACACACAACTCCCCCCTTCCCCCTTGGGCGTCCTGTGCCGTCCTCTCACATCCTCCCACAGCTGCTGTCTCAGCCGATTTTGGATCGGACAGTTGATTTTGCCTATCGCTTGCCTGCTCGCCTCGCCCTCGTCTCCTTGCCATCAAGGGCCACACCACCCACACCACGCCACTCAATCTCTCTCTCTCACCCACCCCTCTTGTAGGCTGCACAGCAACACGCCACGACAAGAGCGAGTCGACGACATTTGGTCTCTTGTCTCCTAGCTCAGCACTCTTCTCCCCACTCTGTGTAGTCGACCAAAAATTCAGGACGTGGCTCTATCTATTCTCCCCCCCCTTCTTTCGCGAAACAGACACACAAGCCACCACGTACTTTCTTCTTCTTCTCCATCTCGTGGCTCGACCGAGACGGGGGGGGGGGAAACCGAATCCAATTGTACCCTGGATCTTTGCAAGCTCGAGTCGTCAGCTCCTTCTCGCGTTCGCTCTCTCTCTCTCTCTCTCTCCTCCTCCTTCCCCACCCCTTGGCGCGCGCGCGACCGCTTCGACTTCCCCGTCGTTTCTCAACAAGTCGAGCGCAATCACAGTCCTACTCGATGAACCAAGGAGGCAAGCCATCGCCCGAATAATAATAGACAGCGCCAGACACGAAAGACTCCCATCATCGCGATGAGCTCCTCATACACCATCCCGCAGTCTACATTACCGCACGCCCACCAGCACCATGTCTACTCGCATGGTCCCTCGCAGTCCCAGACGTCGGTCAACTCTTGGACGTCGTCCGTATCGGGATCCGGATTCCATTCCCACGGCACCGATGACGAGGCGACCATAGTCGACAGCAGCGCCAACGGTAACGGCCACAGCCACGGCCACAGTCACAGTCAAGGTCACGGTGCTCACGCCCACGGCCACAGCAATCACGGCAGCGCCGGTAGCATCGGTGCCGGCAATGCCGCCCGCCCGACGCACTCGCGCCATCATTCCCACGCCCGAACGAGCTCGCAGACCTCCGTCGCCGGTGCCACCACCCTCTCCGCCCTGTCCAGTCGGAAACCCGCCCCCGAGGCTCTCGATATCGCCGGCGGAGCCGGCAGCGGCAGCGGCGGATGGATGAGGGAGACGACGCCTGGCGGGAGGAGCATCGTGACGCCCATCCGCGGTGGTTTCCCGCCGACGCCCAGCGCTCACCATGACGGCCACGACCACGATCACCATGATCACGACCACGGACACGGGCACGACCACGGACACGACCACGGGCACGACCACGATAACCACAGCCACAGCCACGATCACACCGAGACGAGATCCCTCTTTACGAGGATGCTCCTCCCCTACGCTGCCCGAGTGCCCATTTTGCATGCCATCTTGGCCGAAAAGGATTCGAGGCGAATATTTTACTTTATGGGGTACGTCATCGCGCCACCTACGACACGACGAGGGCGGGCAGGCAATTGATTCCGAAACCGGCAAAACGGATGTCAAGGAATGATGTGCTAACCGTTTTCCTTTCTTTTTCCCTTTCGCGCGTAATAGGCTTAACTTTGCCTTCATGATAGTCCAGGCATTCTACGGCTACGTCACCGACTCTCTCGGTCTGCTCAGCGACAGCATTCACATGTTCTTCGATTGCGTAGCCCTGCTGGTCGGATTGTTGGCCGCCGTCATGAGCAAGTGGCCGCCCAGCCAACGATTCCCCTACGGCTTTGGCAAGGTCGAAACGCTCAGCGGGTTTGCCAATGGCATTCTCCTCATGTATGCCATTCCTCTCTCTCTCTGTCTCTCTCTGTCTCGCTCTTCTTCTCCTGCTTCTCGCATCCTTGTCTCTGCCTTCGTCTCTTCGGTTACTTTCCATCTCTCTTTCCTCCTGCCTCCTCCTCTTCTCTCTCTTCCTCTCATTTCGACTCCATACCATGCTAACTAGCACCGTGTAGTCTGCTTAGCTCGGAAATCGCCTTTGAGGCCTTTGAGCGGCTGCGGGAGGGCACGCAGACGAAGCGGCTGAGCGAGCTGCTGGTCGTCAGCACGCTGGGTCTGCTCGTCAATCTGGTGGGCATGGCGTCGTTTGGCCACCACCACCACGGACACGGACACGGGCACGGGCACGGGCACGGGCACGGGCACGGGCACTCGCATGGACACGACCATGACCACGGGCATCCGCACGATGACGATGACGGTCACAGCCACGGTCACGGCCACGGCCACGGCCACGGCCATGACAACGAAAACATGCACGGCATCTACCTACACGTCATGGCCGACACCCTCGGCAGCGTATCGGTCATCGTATCGACGCTCCTGACGAGCGTGTGGGGGTGGGCAGGGTGGGACCCTCTGGCGTCGTGCCTGATCGCGGTGCTGATACTGCTGTCGTCGCTGCCGCTCGTGTCGTCGGCAGCGCAGAGGCTGCTCCTCAGCGTCCCCGAGAGCACGGAGTACAACCTGCGCAGCACGCTGGGCGGGATCCTCCAGCAGCGCGGGGTGGTCAGCTACGCGGCGCCGAAGTTCTGGATGGACGATCGCACGGGCGGCGACGCGGGAGACAGGCTGGTGGGCGTGGTGCACGTCGTGGCGGCCAAGGTGGCCAGCCTGGATGACGTGAGGGACCGCGTGGCCGCGTACCTGGCGCGCGAGGGCGTGGCGGCTGTGGTGCAGGTCGAGAGGGAGGGTGACGCCTCGTGCTGGTGTGTCTCTGGACGGGCGCCGGCCGTAAAGGCATTCTGAGTGCTCTCCCCTCTCGCTCCTCCTCTCCAGGGAGATGTCTGCCTTTGCCTCTCGTCGGTCACGACAACAAGGAAGATGTACCGGTTCATATATATAGATATATATATATATGTTATATATATATATGGCGAGGTGCGGTTGGGCGGTTGGTGTACATCTCATCTAGACAGCTATATACTTGCATAATTACTTGACAGTTGAATTTGGATGCCACGTGACCAAATTTTTTGCTTGATCTTGGTGGCTCTGGTGGCTCTCAGCCGTCAGTAGCTCTTGCTTGGTATATCAGCCATCACCACATGCCAGCGAAGATCAGATATCTAGATGGCTGTGCAAGAGGCTCATTCGGGTGGTCGTCACGATGGTGGGTCTGGCATGTGATAATATGACGTGTGGGTCAAGAGATAAAATGAAAGATCAAGACGAAGTCAGCAGCGGGCCTGAGGTACGATGGATAATGGTAGGAGAGAGAGAGAGAGAGGGAGGGAGAGAGAGAGAGAGAGGGAGGGAGGGAGAGAGA